AAGGCATTAAACTGAGCAACTGGTGCATGAAAGTACTCTCCCTCCTCTTCCTCTTTTCTTTTTTTACTCTTCATTCATCTTCCTCTCCTCCAGTTTCTCTTGCTGCTGTGTCTCCAACAGACTGACACTGCTTCTTCTTTGGTTTTTGTCCATAGGTTGGTAGATGACCGCTGTGTGGTTGAACCAGCTGCTGGAGATCTGGAGAATCCTCCAAAGAAGTTCAGAGGTAAGAGTGTGTGTGTGTGTGTGTGTAAGAGCGTGTGTATGTGTGTGTGTGTGTGTGTCAATTTAGCAACAATAAAGGTCTTGTTAGACTTTCAAAATAAAGAAAAACCTCATCAGACCAGAATATAACTGGAAGCTTTAATAAGTATAAAACAGCTTGAAGCTGATAATCAACAGATAATCAATAATGTAAAGGTGTGAAATACTGATTACTCTTTATGAAGTTTGGGTAAAATGACATATAGTCAGAACAAATGTGAATAACTATTATTTTTGTTCACTTTTTTTTTACAAAACAGCAGCTAATTAACTGTTTATAAAATGTTAACATGAAAATATTAGCAGTTTGAAACGCTGTCTGCGCTCTACGGTGAAAACATTACACCAAACTCCCTTTAAAAAATATGACATTATAACAATTCCTAACGTTTACACAAAAACATGAGATAAAGTGCGTTGTATGTCCACAATCTTCTCACAATTCAGCATCAATAAAAACTAGTAAAGATGAGTTTTATTCTGTACAAACTTTACATTTTGTCTCCTCTACTTGCTCAGTTTCCGTTGCACTGAGAGACAGAAGACTGTGGGAATGAGAGGTGGTTGGTGGATCAGTTACACACCCAATTAAACACAGACTCATAGCGCCATTAATTCACCGTCTTCCTGACTAAATTAATTTATCCGTTATTAATAATGACATTTTTATGACCCCTGCTGCCGCGCTGATCTCCTCACTGTGTGTTCTCCTGTTGCCAGTAACTCCCCGAGTCCCCTGAATACCCGTGGGATCAGCAGCCCGACTCGGGTCTTGGGTCCGGTCTGTGTTATAAGGAACCGATTGAAAACCTCCAGCGTGCTGTATGAAATATAAATGATGTGTGTGTGTGATGTGAGTCCAGCTCCTGTCATCAGAGACACACACACACACTAATATATATAGAAAACAGCCTGTTGCACCATCTGCTCCGAGCTGGCTCCGTTTTAGGACAGCGAGCTGTTGAACCAGTTTACAACTAGATCACAGTGAGTGAGTGACAGCTCAAACTTTAATTAATTGATCATTAATTATTAATGTTTGTTGGACAGTATGACATAGATGACTGGGTCCAAACCTTTTTTAGAAACATCAGGAAACAAAAACATAAGTTTCTTTTTGCACAATTTAACATTGTAAGTAAAATAAATCGAAACAGATTTTTATTTGGTTGCTGCCCGTCATGTTTCTTTAATCACTGGACTAAAAAATGAATCATGACATGAAATTAATCCCACATTTAAATCTAAATGTTACGAGGCAGAAACCAGCCTGTGTGTGAGAGAGTTAAAAGCTCATTTCCTTAAGTAAAGATAACTTCAAACCAGAAAATCCATTTAGATCTTTACAATACAATTTCACAGGAAAATTCTGTTTGCCCTCCACACAAAAATACACACACACACACACACACACACACACAGTAACAGTGTTAATGTTTTTTTACACACAGGATCTGCTGGAGAGAGTCAATATTTACACCTTCCTTTGTGTTTTCTCTTCCATCCATTCACTCCGGTCCTGTTCCATCCTGTTCTCAGATAAATTTAATCTCGTTCTGGACACTGGAGTTTTTATGAGGTCTCACCGTGTCCAGGTTGGCTCGAGCGATTAACTCCAGATTAGCGGAGCAGAACGTGAAGCTAATTGGTTGTTTTGGTTTCAGAACGTCAAACTGGTGAAGCATCTGACATTAAGTCTATCTCTGACTGTCTGTGTTTCTAACCTTTGACCAAATATGGTCTTTCTGTCTATGAGCTCATAAACCAGCCGTGAACGTCACTGAGACACAATATTAACAATATTAACCCCAATAGCTCTAGTTACACAGTAAATGCACTGCACCTTTACAGCACCATTCAAAGGTCTTTACATGCCACATTCACCCATTCACAGTATCTATTCAGTGTCTTGCTCAAGATAGGAGGAGCCGGGGATCGAACTGCCAACCTTTCGATAAACAGTACTCAAAATATATTTATGAACAGATTTGAGGAGAGAAATAGTCAAACGCAGTAACAGAATCTGGATCCATATCTGATCAGCACTGCCTAGTTTGACAGTTTGACTGAAACTCATAAATCAAGTGAGAAGTCAGGTCGTTCCTCCCATCAGACTGCATGGTATTAGTCCCTTTATTGGCAGGCCAGTGGAGCTCCCCTTGCTGGCCGTTATGTAGAATGCAGATTTAAGACACTTCCCTGACCAGACCGGGTGGCTCTGTCCGTTATATTTACTGTCAATGGTTAAAACTTAGCCTAGTTATAAAGTAACTAAATAATTACTCGTCCCAAAAGGTAGTGTAAATGTCACAGGATTAAACTTACTGATGGTAATTACTTGCAGCCATTTTGCACCACAGTAATTCAGTAGAGACCTAATTAAATATTATACTGATCACTGACTACAATGTGCTACGAAGCCAAGAGGCTTATAGCCATAAAGCTAATGCTCACGGTAACCATGAGGTTGATTGGCCACTTGCCTTAGTTATAACTTTAAACTAGATAAGTTATTGTGGTGCAACAGATTTAGTTACAAACAAGAGGCAGCAGTTACTGAGGCACTGTGTCGACTTTACACCCTCACTAAAGAGAGAACTAACAAACAGCAGTTGCAACACAGTCCTGATGAGATGATCAGTGTGTGAATGTGATGCAAAGTGCTCTGAATGATCGGTAGACTAGAAAAGTGCTTCTTCCATTAGTTTGAAAACTCAGCTTGTCAGATTCAGATCACCATTCTAGAGAGGGATGCTGATCAAGACCTTTCGTAAGCAGTGGTGTAGTGCAGAGTGTACAAGTATTCATAGTTTACATGTGACGTCACACCCTCATTGGAGGCAAAGCAAGGCTCTCTTCTGCTGCCTGCCAGCTAACTTAACGGTAGAGATACAGTCGACACAGGCCGAGTTTGTAAATGTTGTGCGATCGGCTGCTAACGACGAGGAGACGGGACTCGGTTGTGCTTCTGCAGAGTAAAACCTTCTCTGTTGTCTTTCTGCCTCGTCGCTGTCTGGACCGAGTTTCTGCACTGAAGCATCGAACTACCTGAATGAACCGTCTGTATTCTGCTGACTGTTTATTTCTGTCGTCTCTACATCTTCACCGCATATTACATTAATTAAACATTATTAATTATTGGCTTTTTGTTCGCTTTTTGTTGCACTTGCAGTGGCGTGTTGAGTGTGGTTGATCTTTACCGTTGTCTCTCATCAGGCAGTGCTGCTCTCTCCCAGAAAGAGCTTAGACCATTGTGTAGGATTTAGTGCCATCTAGTGATGAAGTTTCAGATTGCAACAAACTGAACACTGCTCGTGTCTGTATTTGATGACCTGGGAATGAGAACAAGCTGTTAAGTGTGAAGGAGAAACTATAGTGGCTGTAAAACTTGTGAAAAACACTCATGTTGTCTGTGATGTTTCTAAGAATTGAACACTGAATAGGTTATGTCTCTCCTTAATTCTGATGTGTTCTGTTGTGCTCTGTGTTCGCTCAGACTGCCTGTTCAAGGTGTGTCCCATGAGTCGGTACTCAGCTCAGAAACAGTTCTGGAAAGCCAAACAAGCCAAACATGAGAAGGACAAGATCGCCGACGTGGTTCTGCTGCAGAAACTACAGGTGACAGACACGCACACACGATTTAAAGATCTGACTTTGTGTCCTAGAATGTAGTTAATCTAATAGGTGTTTAAATTGTTACTGTTGTTAAGTTTAGTGTGGCTTTAGAGTGTGTCAAAGGAATTAATAATATTATTATTTCTAATAATCGTAGGTAAGGTATATAGAAGAATGTTTGTTGAATATAAAAACAAAAGATCTATAAATATGAAAAATTAAAATAATAAAGAAATCCTTTAAGTTAAGCATCAGCTTCAAGTGTCAGCTCATCCTGACTGAGGTACAGCTCTACAGATGGAGTTAGCTGTTTGCATGCTAAGCTAAGCACTTGGATCTATTTCTGTACTGAACACACTGAACTGAAACTGATATCCAGCTGAAACATCTGGAAAAGACAGAACAAGAGGGTTTCACTGTTATTACCACTGCAAATGATCTGACTGCACGTGTGCTGTTCATGGTTATTATTTAATTGTATTTTAGTGTATACAGACAGGGTTCGCACCCAGATGTTACATCATGTTACTAGTAGATAGAGTGAACTTTGTGTGTGTGTGTGTGTGTGTGTGTGTTGCAGCATGCGTCCAACCTGGAGCAGAAGCAGAACGAGACAGAAAACAAGAAAGTCCACGGAGACGTTGTCAAATACGGAACTGTTATGCAGGTAAAGATTGTTCAACTTTTTCTATAGAAGTACAAACATACATATATATTATTATCTGGGGATCTGTTGGCACATGCCAATATAAAATAAGGTCCTCACTGGTCAGAGCCTCTGATTGTAGTGACATTTTTTAACAACTACAAAGTGACATAGAATGACCATAATAACACACAAAATGACTATAAAGAGACATATAAACCACTACCGAAAACACAAAAAGAGATGAAACAACCAAACAGAGACCCAAAATAACCACCAAAATACGCAAAATGAGTATAAAGACATGTAAAACAACTACATAGAGATGCTAAACTAACAATAAGGAATGCAAAATGACCACAAATAGATGTGAAACGACTGCACAAAGACAAAACAAAGGCAAAACAACCAAAACGACCACAAAGAGACACAACAAGTGACTACAGAGTGATGCAAAACAACCACAAATAGATGCAAAACGACTACAAAAATGTACTTGTCAGTCAGTGTTATATCATTATATTACTGCACCATTTTATTAGCTTGAATGTATTAACAGGTAAACAGGACTTTAATATTATATCAGGGGAGTCGAGGTGGAAGCTCGTTTTAAATGCTTTATATTACCTTTTTGGTAATTTAATCTAAAACACAGCATCATACTGTTCAGTACAATTAATTAAAGTTAAAGTACTTTACCTGCACATGACTGAACACATCACCTGGATGTTGACCGGTCGACGCCTGCTGCCATGGCAACCAGGTGACTCACACCCCTCCCCTCCCCTCCCTCTGTCTTGGTCTGTCCTTGCATTGTGGAAGCGCTCTATCAAGGCTTGGAGAGGCTATGAATTCCTTTTATCATGTCTGATGCTAGGTGATTCTATAAAAAACTTAGATAAAAAAACGCGATTTCCTTTGATTGAGTTGGAATGGTGCGACTGGCAATCTCAAACCAAAGATCTTTAATAGTTTTAATTCTCGCTTACTGTGACTGATGCTGCATGCTTGCATGTAGAGAGGAGTTCCTGCACCGCAAAAAAAGACGAAAAAACAAAAAACAAAGGTACGTGGCCGCCTCCGGGGGGGGGGCGTGGTTCTCGCGCGGCGGGTGGGTGGTCAAACGGTATCGGGACCTTTCAAGTCTGTTGGGTCAGATTCTGACAGTTCAGTTCCCTAAACCTTCAGAAGAAGAGTAGGCAACAGCGACAATTACTTATACTAGGCTACTGAGATACTACCACCACAGTGTTAGTTCATTCTTGAATTTGGCCCAACAGAAATTGGGCAAGAATGGAAAAGTTTCAACTCAGCGTCCACTTACAGCAGGATAAGGCTGGTAAAAATGCCGGTCTAGAAACTCAGCTGGATATATTTTAGGACACTGTACCACTTACTACAGATAACTGCACCAACTGCCACTGTACTTCTGTACACTTACAGTAATTGATTACAGAAATTACTTAATCTACTGAACTACTGCTGGACAGCACAATGGCCACAATACTTTTCCTTTACTTGAAAACTTTTTCTTCATTTGTTTGAAATGTTTCTAACTTTTACAGTTTTTTTTTTTTGTGAATAAGTTCTAATTTCTAGAAGGCCACAGTAGAGGGAAAAGTTTTTTCTGTATTCTTATATTTGTGCACGATTTCATGATTCCTAGATTTATCACTATTATTATATTAAGAGGCAAGTCATTGCATCATATTAAAAGGTTAAAGATTGCTGCTACCTAAGAACTAATAATTGCATCTAAGTAAAGTATTAATTTAGTCATCAACTCCTGTCCACCTCATTATAAATCAATCACTTAAATATGCAAAATGTATTTCCTAGCTGGACACAAGATGCTCCTCCTTCCCTGTAAAGTTCCACTCTCAGTGCTCTGTGCCACTGGTGCTTCACACTGCTACAAGCTTTGCATACTGGACCAGGACTGACTTCCTGAACTTTTGGTGATGTCTTCTAGAGTCAGACTCTACACAGACATCATTCAAACCATCACACTGTAGGCGAACTGAAGAACAAACACTGGAGTTCTGACTGGGTGGCGCTGTGGAGGGAAGGTTAGAACGTCACAGAAAAGATGGAGATTCATCCTGTCTGGGGACCTTGAACATGAGTAACGCTCCTGTGTATATGTTGCGGATGCGTATGAAGTGTATTTACATTGCTCATTGCGCACGGGAGCTTCCAGAACGGGGCTGGGATGAAGAGCCACGAGCCTTCCATTTCCCGTCACTCGTCCAGGGTGGACCGCGCATGGGCGTTCTTCTCCAGCAGAGCCGGGGCAAGACGCTTGCTTCACCGTCAGGTTATTGTATTTACTCTTCATTTACTGGGGGCAACTGAGGCCCAGGGGACGAGAGTGGGAATTTATTTCACTGTAGGATTCACATAAAAGTCCGTGTTTCTCCTTCATGGGGTTCAGATCAAACCAACAGTGAATGGATCCACTAACAAGCCTACTGTGTGATAAAGCACTGTCCTGCTGGGCCCCAAACACCAGTTTTAGATGAATGCCGCTGGTGAAAATAGTCCCAAATAAATGTTCAATTTGCCTCCTCGTGTTGTCTGATTAAACTAGGTGAGCAGCTGTTTAAAGGATAATGTTTGAAGGTTCTTGGCTGTAATCGTTTGCCTCTGTTCACAGTAAGTTTACTTACACATCTATCTGAAGTTAATATCAGAGGAGTTTTTGTTGTCTCTTTTTAGTTGTAATGCCCATTCCTTTTTTTGGTTGTTTTGATGCGTCTTTTGGTTGGTTATTTTGGGGAGTCTATTCGTAGTAGTTTTGGTGGTTGTTTTTGATTGGCTGGTTGCGTTGTTTTGTGTCTCATGTAGCTTGTTTTACATTTATTTGTATATTTTGGTGATATTTCTGTGGTTGATCTGTCTTTGCTTTTTTTTCTGGGGGCCTTAGAGCAGGGGGACAGGGGGACGTCAGAAGCTTTGAAGACTGCTACAGCAAACTATTAGAATAAATGGGCCGCTTTATTCCTCCTGCCAGAATGGTGTGGTGGGTAAACATTGGTGAAAGGTGCAGCTCAGGTTATCACTCGTACTGTACATAATAGAGTTCTACAGCTCTATGTAACCCTCTCCACACCTTCAACACCACACACACACACAGCACACACACACACACACACGCACACATTACACACACACACACACCTTTTCTCGTACAGGAATCTTTATCTTAACAATCTGACACAGTTTTACTCAGCGCACACCCAGACTTTAAAGGCAGTTGTGTGTGTGTCGTGTGTTGTGTGGTGTGGTGTGTGTGTGTGATGGCAGCTCTGAGGTTCAATACTTGACACGTAACAGATATTGTGGATACGCGACCAGTGAGACGGGTGGGTGTCGTGTGTGTGTGTTGGTGTGTGGTGTGTGGTGGTGGGTGTGTGTGTGTGCTGTGTCAGACAGGTTAACAGCTAATGATCAACCATGTTCACAGAGAGGTCAAAGGACACATGTTGCACGGTTAAAAGAGGAGGCGAGAGGCGA